GCCTTGTCTGATCGCAATCCAAAAATCTCCTGTCCTCGATCGATACGAAGTCATTCACTACAGCCTTGGCCTCCTAACTTTCTGAGATAGGAGCAGATGGCCGAAGAGAGCGAGAGCGAAAGAGGTACTTTGTTTACATTTGTACTCTCTATACTCCAGCGGTGAACCATCTCTCTTACGCCGCCGTTCCAGAACTGCACTGGCACGGACAGGCATCATCTGCAGATCAAGGAAGAATTGCAATTCTCCCCCTCCTTGAACTCCAATCTAGTTCATCCCACACCTGTCTCATCTCCCGCCCCCACACCCCCCTCTACAGACGCCCCAGTCAGTGCTCGCCCGCTGTCACATCCAGTTCCCCGACCAAGATAGCGCCTCACCCAGAAGTTTCAGGGTGATTGCATCACTACCGATCCGAGTATCTCCGGCGTTTCCAGTCGATTTCTTGATCTGGCGGTAAAAGCGGGCTGTCTGAATACCAGGGTGCTGTTTGCTCGCGTATGAGCCTACCCAATCATTCCCAATCGGTAGCCCTAGCACTGAGACCGCCAAGCCTGTCAAAAGGTAAGCCGTACTACAGGCTATGATTTAACGCCTTTGACTCTGGAGAATATTTATGGATGGGAAAGGGGGCTGTGGATGGGAAGTCATCATGGCGCATGTAAGATGCTCCGAAGCAGCGGTTTGACAGGGCCCTTCCCTGCAGTTTAATAGTGCGCACCGACAACTGTCTAGGCTACAAGTGTGGCGGTGGTTGATTTCAGCTCGACATGCAAGTACACGGACACTGTAAATGTAGGAGCATGTACATGTGCGCTGCACTCCTGTGCCACGTTGTGGCTGAACCATCTGAGCGTTGCAAGCGACTGCAGCATAACGCACGATGATTGGTCAAACCCTAGAGACCGAGTTCAATGGTCTAGCCCCGATCTTCATTTGCCCATAGCAGTCGTTGTGAATCAGCGGCAGGAGAGACATGGTGATCACACTTTCGGGCAGCCCGTTGGCCCCCCCTTTTCTCTTATGGCAATATGACATCCCAACGGGCTACCCGAATTCGCATTAGCGAGTCATGGTGGGGGGCGAAGGCGATCCCACAACAGGAAAATTGAGAATCAAAAAAAGCAAATATCTTACAGGAATAGCAATCCACCACTCGGGGAACAGATTGATCGTGGGTTCGTGGGTTCGCGGGACCGCAAACGAAGACTCCCGAAACGCCCCTTGCAACTGTCGGTGGAGAAGGCGTCGAGCCGTTGCCGTTAGTGTAATTGACATCGGGGGTTTCCAATATCGAGGAAAGATCAAAATGACAAATAAACCAAAGTACAAATCTCGCCTCGTTTGTCCAGAGATGGGAATTTGGGGGGGGGAAGAGGGGGACTACTGAATTCCTCAAAAGAGGAAGAGGGGGACTCTACTCTATTGGGTGTGGGCAGTTAAATCCTGCTCATCTCCCAGGCGATGCGAAGCACTGATACGAGTACTCGATGATCATACCCTAGGATTTTGAGCACAGTCTCTAGTCCTCGTAAATGGGTGTGTGGCGGATGATAACTAGTGGTTGCTAGATCATGCCAGGCGAGCTAATGGTAGGACTGGATGGGGACTTCTGCTGGAGACTAGATGCAGATGGACCGAAACGATAACTGTCATGTTCATCTACCTGAAAAAAAGAGAGAGATCAAACTGCGCAGGTACATATTGTTTGCGTATGAGGGGCATGCATCTCATCCCCGATCTGGCGCATAAACTAAATCGCTGTGGCAAGACTTTTCGCATATTTGCATGCTTTGACTACCTAGCACAAGACTATCTAGCGCCTCCAGTCAAAGATAGTACAGTAACTACGGTCGATAGTAAGCCAGTTGCCTCGTCCCGAGAAACCGTCAACGATGCAAATCCCGGGAGATGGGCGCGCTGACAGTAGTTTGGGTAGATGTTCCTTCTCCTTGGGCCCTCTCTAAAGCCCAACTGGTCCTGAAATCCACTTGGGACGACGCTAACCATAAGGAGGGAACTAAAAAGTAGTCTTCCAGGATGACGGGCTAGGTACGTACTCTTGACTACTGTACATATGTAGGTGACATCGAGGATTGAAATGTTGACACGGCCTGGCGTGGGGGCACTGATTGGGTTACGCAACAAAGAAGGCGTCCAAAAGTACCGCGCTTAACCGGGGCAGGTAGAAACTTTCGACCCATTTTGCGACCGGACGCTTATCCCCGACGATCATACACATCCTTGGCCAACAGATAAATCAAGGTGATCCGATTCTTTGCCGTACTTTCTGTCTAGTCTCGATTTGTGTTAGATTGCTGGGTCGGCATGGGCTTGGACGAGAAATTCCGCGGCTAACTATTCCATTGGCGAGCCTGGTACCTTTTTTAGCCCCGTATACTTTGTACGAAGTGCCAATGGTACTAATTAAAGCGATTTGTGTTTAATCTGCTTCTAATACCTTGATTCGGCCATGGTGCAGAGACTGGAGGGTCTGATCTCAGGGGTTCGCCTCCCCAGAGGGTGAGCATCATGTTGACGTTTGCCGTTGGCTCATTATGATATTCGTTAGAGACCCCGCGGGCTCCTGTCATGTTTGAGATGTCGATGATCTACAAGGGAACAAACGGATGGCATCGCGTTCGACCAATGCGGACAGAGAGCGGGCTCAAAAGAAAATTAAAGCCCAGTCACTCTGAACAGGGTTCCAGGATCCAGGATGTTGGGCCACGCACAAACCGCACCTTGATAGGTTCGTGGGACAGACAGCCCCTCGAAGCAATGTGCCGGAGGTCCTCGGGGCTCTCATGGCATTGGCCAAGGGGCCCCTGCCACTGGCAGCACTAGCGTCGGGGCACATCCACCCAAGATCCGACGATCGAGCACGGCCTTTTTTGCGTCCCGAGAGAGAGGAGGGGGTTGATGGAGTGGAGGAAAGGTTGTACTCCATCCTCGGTACCTTTGATGCCATTAAACTTCTCCCTATCCTCATCGAACGGAGCATCCCACAGTGCCTACAGAGCAAACGAAAGTCAAGATCGAGACCTGAAAGGCACAGAAACTTTCATGACAAACCAGTACGGGAGCCCCGACAGCTGAAGAGATCTGCATGCATGGGAATAGCACCCACATTACGCGGGCCCCGACGCAAGGCAGGGCCCAGTTTGAGGGAACACGGCCCTGACAGCTTGAGAGCGTGGTGCGTCTTGGTGGGAATACTATATTCTAGGCAATGTAGTATACTGCTTCACGATAGGTTGGAAACTAAATAAATTCCATCGATTTCTAGGAGGTAGTATCGCCCCGCCAAACAAAGAACCCTGGTTCGCGTGGATCCCGCGCTTCAATCCGCCGTCAGAACGGGTTAAAGTGGATGGAACCCGTTTCAAAGGATTCTTAAGATAAGGACACTTTTTTCTAATGTTGTTTTATGTTGAAGATTGGGGTACTAACGGGCAATTGAAATCTGACATCCAGTACGGAGTACATATGTAGAATTATGGTAGTCAATGGTGGGACATGGAAACACCGACCCTCTGGGGAGGCCGATCGATAATCGACAGCGCCACGCTACTTTGGGGGATGCTCCGACGCTAAAAGGGTGAAATTTAATCGAATTAAAATGAATACGAAAAAAATAATAATAATAAAAGAGAAATGGGGTGGAGGGAGGGGCGGGGGAATGGAAATGGGAAGGGGAAGGGGAAATAAAATAATAAAATAAAATCGAAAGGAAATACAGAAAATCTGGATTATAAAAATAAAATAAAATAAATCCACGATCTACAAATAGTTGGACAGGGATCACGAATCGGGACGGGGACTTTTTACCAGCGCTAACGCAGCAGCTAAGGCACTCTGGAAACTGCACCACGCCAATCTGCAGCCTGCAGACCCAAGATCAGAAGCTGTCGGGGATCCCCCGGCTTGTCCATACTTTCAAGGATCATCCATGCTCGATGTGGCACAAGTTGGCTGCTCCGGGGTTATTCGAAGATTTTCAAGCTGGTACTTTGTCAATTGCCTGGACCGCTTGAAAAAGCCCACCACCCCGGGTCTCGTTTTGGTCCTTTTTTTCTATTCGAGATGTACATGATTTAAACACCTCGTCTTCCCCCCTCATCTTCTTTGAATCCACAACTTTCGATTTTCTGGAACCCTTCCCCTCCAATCGTTATTAGCCCCCACCTTGTCCTATCCGTGATCAAGGTTCCAAGTCAACACTCCATCAGATATTGTGTATACAACCAATCCATCCCCGTCCGTGTCACCACACGCCTTACAGTACCGTCCGGGGAACCCGTCAATCGTCTCAGTTCCTGCATTTGCCCCGTCGGTTGCCAACAGCAACTGTCTTTTCTCCTGCAGTTTTCCCACGCATCACCGACGAACCATTTGAATACCACCTGGCCCGTCGACCTCGTTCTCGAGTTCCTGTGAGTATTTGCCTGCATATCACCCCAAGCATAGTCCCATTCCCAATAAGCTTGACTTCACCCGTCCCCGAGATGGTCATCCTGTGCTCTTACCGCCACCCGTCGGGGAGGAGCGGGAGACCAGTTGGCCGTTGGGCATTGGCAAGCTGCCAGTGACTATTTTGGGAACTGGATTGGCTCGATGAACATTAGTATCTTGAGGAGATGAGAGTGTGCGGCTAACGTTTTTCTCCACCAGTTCCATCTAGAGCGGGATCCTCGATCTATAAGAAGGGCCTGTCCGACTCGCGACACATTGAACGTAACCAGTTCTACTTAGCCCCATTATCTTTCCCCGTTTCTTGCAAACTCGAAGTTTAAGAGGTCACGACATTTTATATCATCCACAGGACCCTGTTCCTTCCTGCAAAATGGTTTACCATAAGCCCAACCCCACCAGTAGCGGCATGAAGCGGTCCGCCTCTGCTCTTGAAGGCCCCCCCCGGCTGGGATGTTATTCCTGTGAGTTTATTACGACATAGGCATTATAATGCGAGCCTTGCTCTAACATCCGAATAGCCCATGATGGCTCCACAATCGTCGTGCCATATTCCATTCGCCCACTATGCACTTATCTATATTGACAGCGCGGGCAAGTTGGGCTGCGAAGAGTCAGCCAGCATCACGGAGCAGAATATGACACTTTTCTCTCCGGATGTTCGCCAGACATTCCTAGAGACACTTGGCGAGAAAATTGGACTCCATCAACCTCTCTCTGGGGGGTATGTTTTTATATCCTACGTCCCATGTCGAATTTAAACTGATTCTTCCCTAGCATCTCCGCGCAGAGTCCGCCGCCGCCGCGGCAATGCCCGGCTTCCATGAACCACAGCCGACTGGCTGATGATTCTGACAGTGATGACTATCCTCCCGCGGGTAATGAGACTACTTCTATTCGCGTTGGAGACGCCACGAAGCTTATGAACTACTATGAGGGTGCTCTCAAGCATTTCCAACAACTTAACTGCCGCATGGTTGCCAAGGCCTTTATCAAGTTCATTGAGCCTCGTAAGCAAGTGAGACACCCATACAACGGTGGCAAACCTCCAGCTGGATCTGCCCCCGGTACTACCGGTGACCCTGAAAAGACCAAGCCTGAGTGGTGGCCCCCTGGTGTCATGCACAAGGAGCCTGACCACCTACGCAAAGAGTGTATGTTCTGACATCCATATTTGGTTCTTAATCAATCCACTAACAGTTTACTGATAGATCGCATTGAGCTTTTGCTTCATATTATCCGCAAGCTTGGAGGCTTCGGAATCACGTCCGACAAGCTCAAGGAAGTTGCTAGCGATACCAAACGCAGCCTGAAGCACCCCTCTCATGTGGATATCATCCTGGAAGTCCTCCGTGTTCGCAAGATGGAGGAGCGATGGGAGCGTGGTGAAGTTGACGCCAACACTCTAGTCTACGTGATGAACCGAGGACCAAGCCCTAAGGGCGACGAGGAAGAAGAGTCTAACGACGGTCCTGTATCGGTCTTGGACATTGAGCATCTCGAAGACGGCCTTCTCACCCCGAGCTCATCTGAGCAAACTGCTCCTCTCACAACCCCCATCGACGCCATGGGCCTCCCCCCCTCGCTCTCTGCCTGGCAGCTTCTCCCTCGCAGAGCCTCTCACCTTCGAGAGCCGCGATCGTTCATTCTATGCCACCCCACCCCAATACACCGATTCCTTCTCTCAAGGCATGCTCAGCACCCCTGTCACCGCGGAAATGATTAGCCCGCATGATGTCTCTGTCTTCGCCTACTCATCTCAGCCATCTTATCCATCCTCCACACCGGACCAGCACTGGTCCACCCCAACTTTCCGGCAAGACATCTTCAGCCCGGTAGGCTACAATGCGCCAGTCACTACGCAGCCCTCAATGCCATACAACATGGCAATGGCTCCGCCGACGCATTCTATGCACGGCTTGCCCAGTCACGAACAGCCGCCCATGGACCCGATCAGTCGGTCTCTACCATTCCGAACTGGTTCCTTGGGCCACCCTCATCCACACGGCTCTCCACTTGCCCACCTTTCCTAACTGAATCGGTCGGGCTGGCCCCGGGTTGAGAAATGGAATTCGTTGATTATGCGAACATAGCAACGGGATTTAATGACTAAATGAATGAATGGCTCTGATTATCATATCATACCAATATATGAAAGCGCACAATATACAGGTGACTTTGCGAGGGAGTTTTATTTTGTGACAAGTTGATTTCCAAATTTCGTGGATAAAAAAATGCTTTTTTGGTGTCGCTCAGATGGTTTGGTGCTGTGACAATTTTTGTTTTATCTTCAGGGCTGCTTCAGTGTTGCCTCTTATTCTCCTTCTTCTTGTTGTCGATTTTTATTTCTGGAAATACTTTGGTTTGGTTGTTATTTTCTTTTCTTCTTTTCTTCTTTTCTTCTTTTCTTCTTCTCCTTTTTTTTTTTTTTTTTTTGTCTCTGGCTTTCCCTTCCGGTTGATTTTCAAACCCCTTCTTCTGTTTTTTTTTTTCACATAATTTGCCCTTTCTCGACTCTCGCTCATCATGGTTGATCTCTCTATTTGATATTTCTGTACATTCTTATTGCTCCCTGATAAATTACTATCATATCTCACTATGGGACATTGTTGATAAACACTACTTTTGATATAACGGAGACGATGAATGACATGAGTTAAAAATAATTATTCGAATCCACCCAATTAATAGGCAATAGTTTGCACAAAAGTTGTATCCTGGAGTAGTTCTACTAGTTATAGTTAATTACTAGTTGCCTTGTAGTGACTGTTGTATGTGCCTTATGGCAGGTCACCTGACCCTTGGCAAGTGGACCCACTGGAAGCTCGCATCGTCGCGGCGACTCTCTTCGACTCGCGACCCGCAGGCCTTTCTTCGCTATCGCTTCAAGAAGAGAGGCCACATACCTGCAGACTGACGGAGACGATAGATTGCCGGTTTCTACGCGCCCTGGCTTTCCTGTCTCTCTAACTTTTCATTGAGCGACTCCTTAAAGACCCGACCTCGTTCAACCCCCCGACCACCCGTCGCAAGCCTCGGCTGACCCGAGCTCTTTGCGACTTTCAAACCGATATCGTTCACAGAAACCACGATCGCGCAATGATTTCGGCTATCTAGACTTATCATACGAGCTCCGACAATTCGAAAGGTACCTCGACCACCCGTTCCCCGCGCATTGACTCCTCGGACCCCGTGACAACTTTCATTCAATTATATTTCTTCCAATCGCGCCCTCGCTTTGTTCTGCATCACTGGATCGGTTATATATCTTGACAACATGGACTGACTTTTAAATCTCGCCTCGGCGAACCAATTTCCTCGAACAGCTGCTTCGTTATTTTCTCTTATCTCCCCGTCTCCCAATCGTCGACACCCATCGAAGAACACGCCACTCGTCACACCTTAAACTCAAAGATCTACTGGGAGAACTTCTGAGGTGGCCGGAGGCGGTATTTTCGTTCTCGCCCGCTGAGTGCGGACAGAATGGCTACTCCGTTCAACCCGTTTGCTGGTGTTTCTCGTGGCCAGAGAGGCGGACCATCGACAGGTGCAAATGGACGTGGCCGCGGCGCACCATCCAATCGTGGCTCTCAGCTTCAACCCCGAGGAGGATCCAGCACATTTAGAGGACCCAGGCAACGTGGCCGGGCTCGAGGCACAGGCACTTTTCCAAACCGCGGTCGTGGCGCTGGCGCTGCGGCTGCTGGCTCATCTCATTCAGTCACGGCTAAGCAAGGAGCTGGTCCTCAAAACGGCAATTCACCATTCGCCCAGATCAATCAACAAAACCCCTTCTCGTCTCCTTTCGGTGGCCCTGCTCAACAACAAGCACAGCCCCAAAATACCTCGCCCTTTTCCGGAATCACGAATGGAGCACCTACCCCGAACTCGAATCGTGCGCGAGGGGGGGTTTCGAGGTGGTGCCAGAGGAGGCACGCCGAGACATAATCAGTGGGTAAAGCCGACTAGAAAGATGAATGGCGCTCCTGGACAACCAATTCCTGTGGAGGATAGCTCTATTCTGGCACAATACCATCAACGATATGACCAGGTCAGCATCATCCCCACTGAAGATCAACGCAAACCTGAGGGTATGGACAGTTTACCTGACCAAATTTGCAGCTCAAACTCGATCGCGCAAAGGAAAGGCAACAGGCCATTAAGGATGGCCACATGGCCGATCCTGACCAGCCCACCTCTCTCAACCAGGCAATCACACCAGTCGGAACATGCGAGGGCATGTGCCCCGAATTCGAAAGCATTGAACGCATTGTACAAAAAATGGTGGATAAGTGCGAAAAGGTATACATCTGTATTATGCTTTCCAGACCAAGTCCTGACCCTGACCACCCTTGCCAGTATCTCCACCCGTCGACCAATGCCCTTCAGAATATGGAATGGAAAATGCTCAAGCGTTTCCGAAGATCAGCAGCGGGCTACGATGAACAGCTTCCTTCCGATATTCGAACTCCCAAGGCCCTTCTCCAGACTACTAACTATCTGATTCGACATGTTCTTGGTGGATCCGAACCGCTAGCACTAATTCACAAATTTGTCTGGGATCGAACTCGGTCCGTTCGTAACGATTTTTCGGTCCAACAGGTTACCCAGGAAAGCGACGTGAGAATAGCAGTGACCTGTCTGGAGCGAATTGCCCGATTCCACATCGTCTCGCTCCATTTACTGTCAAACCCGGCGAGTGAAGAACCCTTTGATCGGCACCAAGAACGCGAGCAACTCAACAACACCATGCTTTCCCTTATATACTACTATGACGATAATCGTGGTCGCATCGCCTTCCCAAACGAGGATGAATTCCGCGCATACTACATCATCTTCTCCATCCATGATCAACGACCCGACCTGGAGGCTCGCGTGCAGAAGTGGCCGGTGTCTTTGCTCGAATCCCCCCCGCGTCCAAGTGGCCATGGAGCTTTACACAGCCTCGTGCAATACGTGGCAACCTCAAGGTACCCTTGATTCACGCCGACCGAATGCAATTGCCCAGGGCTTTTACACACGGTTCTTTAATATTATCAACTCGGGCAGTGTCTCATACCTCATGGCATGTGTGGCTGAGATTTACTTCAACTACGTTCGACAGACAGCTATTCGGACCATTTGGAAAGGATACTGTCGCACGCCAATATCCCAGCAGCACAGAAACGAGGAGTGGACAGTCGATGAATTAACCCGGGTTTTGCATTTCGATGATGAAGAACAGACAACGAAGTTTCTTGACGAGCAAGGCCTTGAGCTTGCTTTCAATGAGCAGGGTCAGCAATATTTGAACTGGGGCTCCCGTCACATTGAATCTGTCGGTAAGTTCCTGATGCTTTAGGCAAACACGGTTCGAGTTTCGCTCGATCTCCAACAAACTACACCCAATCCGTGCCGCTTGCTTACTCCTCAATTAGAATTCTCTCCGTCGACAGAGCACGCCTATTCAGAAACATTCGTTGAAAATAAGCGTTCTGGAAGAAGCCTGGTAGCCATCGTTCTGGGCATGAGCATCCGAGAAGCAGCACGTATGGGAATGGTCGACCAATCTTCTCTTCACGAACGTAATGCTCCATCGCCAAAGGATATCTCGCTTGACCAAGATGACTCTCTTTTCGTCTCAAGCATCGGTAATGGGGTTCCAGAACCGGTGGTTGAGATCAGTGACTCTCCATTGGGATCGGAATCGCCTGCGCCTAACAGTCCTAGTATTTTCCAAAACTCTACACCACCGACGACTGTGAACATACCCGTGACCACGCAACCAAGCGCTCTCCCTGCCACGTCGCAGCCTGTGAATCCATTCCAAGCGCCTCAGCCTCCCAATCCATTTGGTTCGATGTTCTCTGGCACTGCTTCAAACGAATCGACCCCGGTGACAACCTCCGCTGCTACTCCAGCCGTGCCATCGAACCCTTTTGCAGCTTCGCAAACATCGCAATCTCAGAGTCCGTTCCAAACTTCATCTTCGCCTTTCGCGTTCCCCAAGCCGACAGAGCCAGCCGAAGCGACCGGGAAAGAAGACACCCCAGCAGTATCGGCAGCAGAAACTCCAAACCCTTTTGGTAACTTCAAGCCATCACAGACTCTCAGCAACCCTCTAGGCTCCTCTCCTGCTCCTCCTCAAACATCCTCGATATTTACGAATGGCGGATTATCCAATGGCACTGCGGAACAATCTGCGGGCATCCCGAATCCTTTTGCCTCTTCTTTGGGCCAGAAACCTTCCGAAACACCCAAGGAAGCTGGTTCATCTACTACCAGCACATCAGCAGCTCAACAGACGCCTTCTTTTTTTGCTCCTACCAAATCACCTTTCTCTCCTGTTGAAGCTAAGGAGCCCGTCTCGCAGAACACAACTTCAACGGGAATATTCGCTCAAACTACGAAACCCTTCAATTTTCCTACCCCCCAAAATACTTCTCAATCCTCTCAGTTGTCTGCATCTATCGGCCCTGGCATCAGTTTCACTCAGGAATCCTCGACCATATTTGAATCTGTCAAGCCCCCAAGCTTCAGTGGCTTCTCAAACCCGCCGTGGTTCGCTCCGCCAAATGACGCCAACAAGGAAACGAAAAACACCCAAGCACCAACAGCAACACCTACCTTCGATTTCTCCAAGTCTGTTCCAGCAAAACCTCAACCGCTGCCGAGTCTGTTTCAGCCTACATCAGCCGGCCCATCGCTCTTTACACATCCCGAGATTTCATCTTCCAAGCCTCTCTTCTCTCCTGCGAACCCCCCCTGTCCAGCCCACGTCGGAAACGAAGACTAAAGATTCCGACGAAGGGGACCATGAAGCCCGAGACGAGCCCAAGCTCAGGAAACCAGATGGTGCTGTAAAGATTGATGGAAAGGAAAAGGAAACGACCACGGCGCACGTTATGTCGCCCGAGCCTTCCAAGGCCTTTACTCAACAAGTTGATACTCCGGAGGAACCTCTTCAACTGCCGGCTTTCTCTAGTCCCCAAAACCTAGATCCTCCCGGTAATTCGATACATTCGTTCCCCACCTATCTTAAACCATTGCTGACTTTCTTTTAGCCGAGGAGACAGAGGCAGAACGCCAGGCCAACTGGAAAGAGTTCATTCGAAAAACATCTGAGAAACAGAAGAAGGAAGCCGAGGAACAAGCAAAGAGCCGGAAAAGAGCATTAGATGAGTCTGCCGAGACTGAGAAGTCCCGAGAGAGATCTAGTTCGAAGGTTCTCAAGACATCGGGCTCGAGTGAATCTTCTCCTCCCGCCAAGAAGTACTCCCTTGCCGAAGCATACGCCAAAGCACTGCCCAAACTGCCGTGTCTGGATCGCGTCAAAGCCTTAATCGAGCGCAAGACGCCAGCCGATGATGAAACCCAGGTCTCGAAGCCACATAATCGCCAAGTTGACGAAGATGAGCTTTTGCTGAATTCTGCTCGAATCGCAGCAGAACGACTCCGCACGGGGCCGAAGATTTTTGATCCCTCGCCTGAGTACGATCTGCGGCGCTCCTCGTACAGCCCTTCTGCTAGCTACTACAACTCCCCTTACTCGCTGAGCCAGTCCCCCCGACCTCATGGGTACAAGGTGGTGCATGCGCCAAATGTACCAGAAGGCCTCGGCCGAAGCATGTCTGCGTCGGAGCGGCGAATCCGGGCGACTGGAGCCCACGGCCTGGCCTACAAGGAGCTGGACTTTTCCCAGGTGGATAAGCGCAAAGAGAAGCGCAAATATTTGAACAGTGAATAGGTGGATAGGGGATGTGTTTTTACGGACCCTTGTGCTTTTGTGTGTGCACTCATGGATCAAATCAGGGGGGGTTGACATTGCATTTGTATTGGGAGTTACAATGGGTTTTTTCTTTTTCTCGATTATGTGGATGCTCACCTCATGCTCTCACCTCATGCCCGCGCATTTGCATGGTGTTCGGGCGGTTATCAGTACATTACCCCCATGCTATTTCAAATAATCCAAATTCATGAATCAATCCAATCAATGACTGTCCTATTTATGTATTTATTATGTCCATTAAATTTCACCATAGCATTTTTGTAGACCACATCCACATCCACATTCACATACTACTCTGAACTGTTCTTGTTCTTTTGATGCGTTGTTCTCCTCGGGCCGCCGATCCAAATCTCCGACCTCAGTCAGCAATCCCCGCATCCCGGAAAGACCTTCATCGTCCCGAACTACATCTCCTTACAAATCCCATGTTCGGAACCCGATCAAACCCCGGCTACAGATCAATCGCTAGTTAATCGTTGCACCTGTGAAATCTTCCTGTCGGTGTACCTTTGACATCACCCTGGCACCCACGGCATTGAGCCGCGTCCGTCTCGGACCAAGGACACAAAGACTTCATCTCTACGCGTCACCCACCTCACCCTCAAGTGGCTTGCCCAATTACTTGCTCCGAACAAAGAATATATTCCAACATAATCAGGAATTGAAAAGCACAAGAAACTTCTCGGTTTCGCGGCTCGCTGCGATGAGAATTGCTACACTACAGATCGCCCCGAAGCTGGGGGACGTGGAGGGAAATATCCGACGCGCCAATGAGTTGCTTAAGAAAGGCAAATCCATCTCCATGGGTGGACAGGATCTCGGGATTAGAATTGGGGCAGAGCTACTAAGACCGGAGATTTTGGTATTGCCTGAGATGGCGTTGACTGGTATGTTCTATTCGATACTGCGTCAAAGCCTGCATCACCAAGACCCTAGAATCAGATGAGTGCTTTAAAATTGCCCTAGGTACCATCGACTATCTCTCAGATATTAACCGAGTTTGTCCAGGATACAATTTCCCATCGTTAGAAGCAGTCAGGCCTTTCCTCGAGCCAGTTGGAAGGGGACCAAGTGCCGCCTGGGCACGCGAAACCGCCCAACGACTCCAATGCAAAGTGTGCGTGGGGTATCCAGAGATCGAAACAAATGCCTCAACAGAAGAGACAAACTTCTACAACTCCCTCGTCATCGTCGATGAGGCGGGCGAAGTCATCCACAACTACCGCAAGAGCTTCCTATACTTTACCGACGAAAGCTGGGCCTCAGAAGGCGACGTCGAGCGGAGCTTTCGCGAGCTGACTTTCCCGTCACGACAGGGGAACGAGAACGAGAACGGGATGGCGACAGCCTCTACCATAGCGGGGGATGTAGCTGCGAGTGATACTCCCCGACATGCAGCCGAGAAGCGGGTCGCCACATCCTTTGGGATCTGCATGGATATCAACCCCTACAAGTTCGAAGCCCCTTACACGGCGTGGGAATTCGCCAACCGGGTCCTAGACTCGAAATCGCAACTGGTCATTCTGTCCATGGCATGGTTGACCCTCCTCAGTAAGGGAGGAACTGGATGCGCTAGAGGGCCAGCCGGAGATGGATACGTTCAACTACTGGCTACAGCGGTTCTGGCCGCTCATCGAGAAGAAAATGCAGCATGCGGAGAATGTGGATGGGCCCGATGCGGAAGGAGACCGGGGGGGACACTGATTTGGATTCCGAGTCTGATTCCGATTCTGATTCTAATTCCGATACGGCTGGGACGAAGGCTGCGCGCAAGGATGATAAGCAGGTGGTGATCGTCTTTGCCAATCGTGCCGGGGAAGAACCCGCAGCAGATGATGTGAAGCCACCGGCGCGGTATGCGGGGACGAGCGCCGTCATTGCCGTGACGCAGCGGCCTCGAGAAGGAGGGTTGAATGGGTCAGGTGCTGGTGCTGTGGAGGCGATCGACGAGGGCCGCGACTTCGACGTGAAGATCCTTTGTTGGGACCTACTAGGCGCTAGCGATGAGGGGATTTGTTTCGCGGATACTACGGCAGATCCGAAAATGGTGTTTGGATTGAGGAGCAAGTCGCGGGAGGTGTGAGACATTCCATCCTTTTTGCTCTAGAGACTCGAGACTAGAGACGCATCCATGGGGTTGGGGTGGGGGAGGGAATCGCGCCGTGTGGGGATATAGATGGCTGCCTGTCTGCCTCGTGGGATGCATCTTATCTCTGGCCCTCTATACATTACATCCTGATACAAGGTGTGGCTGAGTGAGACCAGGTTTGCCTATATCTACGCCTCTACGATGGTGATGGTGGCCCTGGGATGAGAGGCGGTTGATAACTGGGATATTTCCATCTTGACTGCCATGGTCGGCACCCGTCCAGCCTGACGATCTAACGGGGTCCCGGATGATCGTGATCGCATGGGAGATCGTCGAATGCTGCAGAAAGCCCACCTTATTTCATCGATAGGGTCTCATGACTGGGCGATCGCAGACTACCCGGGTGCAACCCTAGCGCGAGTCCAATGCCCAGCAATTCCATGTGACGAATGATTTGATTTTGATTTGATCAACAAGAAGTTTCCACCGTTGCATCTGCTTTTTTAGAAAGATAGGAATGTGTGAGGTAATGACCAGTAGGTGTGTGCCAAGGTGGATGTGGATGGATGTGTAGTATAGGGTACGGAGTATGGGAGGGGAGATATATGCGGGGATTTGTGAGTTGTGAGTTCTCCCGTCTCCAGTGCTATGTACATTATGGAGATATGGGCAATGCCAAGGACCATTATGTAGCTAATGCAAGTGTATACTTCCCGGTGGCCTGTGCTTTTCACGTGATGGGGCTAGGCGCTGAGTGGGCCAATCGGGGAAAGAGCGAAGAGCGAAAGTGTGAAAGGTGAGGTGTGCTTGAGAGTTGCTTGCTGAGAGGGTGAGGGGCACGGGATCCAGACCCGGAGGCATGTGACTGACGCTGACGGTAACTGGCACTGACTGCATGGAGATAATGATTCAAACCTTGGAATATATTTTATTCTAATCGAAAAGAAAGTGAATTAATGCAGGTCACTATGGGCAATAGAATGAGTAATAGTAATTGATTTTTCTTTCTTTCTCTCTTTCTTTCCTTGAATTCTTGTATTTGAATGACTGAATGCCAAGTCCTCAGATGATACCCTTTGAGGTCAGGTGACTGTTCTGCACTAGTGGTCGCTCCGCCCGCCCGCATCCTCTCCTCCTCCATCCACGTGAGCAGTCCTCTCGACTCGGTTGCTCGACACCCTCAAGAACTCCCTTTTTCCATGGAAAAATCACCTCTTTGAACTTTTATACGGATCGGATCGCGTCTACTGCTCCCGTCTGTCCCCTCGTCTTTACCTTTTCTTTTTTGGGGTTATCATTTTGAAGTTCGGATATCACCAACAACGTGACCTCGTCTTGTTGTTGTCCAGGGCAGGTGACTTCCTGTCAGGTGATAAAGAGATCATCCCAAGGTAACGACTCCATCAACCCCTTCTACCCTCCCTCCCCATGTTCCAAGGTGTCGTGGTCGCGTCGAGATCGTTGTCAATCTTGTCGCCGGCGCCCTTTCCTGAACTTGCCCCCTTTCCCCTCATCGCAGCCTCTCCTCAATCGACCCAGAACGCGCCTTTTCGAGGGCTACGCGTCGCGGAGGGTCTGCGGAGGGTCTGGCAGTGAGAAATGAGGTCTTGAATATTTCCCACGCGCTATACATGCGCTTGTCTGCCTGTGTAGGAGCCCTCCGGCCGCGAAGAACAGGCCCTGCATGAATGAAACTGGGCCCCGGTTTGAGGGGAAAGATGCCTCCCACCGGGCGCGTCGGCTTCACGCGTCGATCTGTTTATCCCGAGGAAGATCATTGATCTTGCCGATGAAGGGCCGGCTCATCTGACCATCTTTCATCACTAACCCGCAACTCTTCACTGACTCTCCCACTCGAGCTCTCGCGTTCTCACGCTTTGAACCTTCGTGTTGCCCTTCGATGACTAACCTTCTGCCCAACTAGATCGATCGCGACTACATGTCCGACCCCACCATGAACAGCCCCGACAGTGTTAACAAACGCAAGCGTGAAGGTTCCGAGGACCTTGGCCACGACGCTCAGCGCCTCAACCGCTCCTCTCACGGAAGCAACGGCAGCATGGGCCCCGACAACCAGCACAACTTCCACAGCTCCCTCAACTATGACCATGGGCTGCCCAACACGGGCTCGGAAGTTCTCAACATTGACCAGCAGATCTTGCAACATGTTGGCCAGGCTCAAAGTGGCATGTCTGATGACAATACCCTCACCGCAAAAGCCGCACTTGCTGCCCATCCTCACAAATATCCGCCACCCCCGGATTCGGCCTTTGATGCCAATAACCTGACTCAGGGGCTCAACTTCCCCGACGATATGGGCCAGGGTCCCATGTCCGGCGGTCACAACCACAACTCAACTGCTGCTGCTGTCTACGCTGCGCGGGAGGCCCAGTCCATGAACTCAAAGCCCACGGTCGGCTCTCCCGAGTGGCACCAGATTCGCAAGAATAACCACAAAGAGGGTATGTTATCCGAATTATCCCGTCCTGCGTGGACTTATTGTATGACGTACTTGCTAATTCATCCCACAGTTGAACGCCGTCGCCGCGAGGCAATCAACGAAGGCATTAACCAGATCTCCCGTCTGGTCCCAAACTGCGATAAGAACAAGGGCGCAATCCTACAACGAGCCATCGAATATATCTGCCAACTCCAGGATGAGAAGAAGAACATCGATGAGCGATTTGAACAACATAGTCTCACCACAAATCATGCTTTGTCTGAAATCAGCGCTTCCAACCAGAAGTTGAAGGCAGAAGTCAGCCGACGCAACAACATGGCCCAGAAGTGGTTGCAACGCTGCCGTGATGCCGGCTTGGAGTTTGATGATTATGAGGACGTGAAAGAGCTCGAGACCTTCGATCTGGAGTAAAGAGATGCTTTCGTATCCTCTGTTTGTGCACGTGCTATGACCGTCTCGTTGCGTTTTTCGGCGGCCAAGATTTGAACATACCCTCCTTTCGCGTTCTGGTGTTTTTTTTCTATGATGGGGATCGAATTCCAATTATTCCTCCTTTACCCTACTTCTCCTTTACTGCTCCCCCTATTCTTCATCTCTTTCTATGGCTTTCGCTATAGCTCTTCCACCTTTATCTTATTCCAGAGTCTTTTTTCTACTGCAGCATATGCCTCGAGCTGAGTATGCAGACTCACAACAGATACGGGCCCGGGGGGTATTCTTGGCTTATTATTCTTTCGCGGCGTACTTCTTTTTCCCTCATTTCTTGATACTCCGACATCCCCTCTTCTCCTACCTTACAACCAAGGCTGCTTGTATGCTATCTGGACTTATGTTCCTCTTTTTCACATCGTTAATGGATGGGCCGGCGAAATCTCAGGATTGGATAGGGGTTTTTCTGGATCACGGTGCTGCTGGTATAATTCAAGTTCTAATTTTTCTACATTTTCTCGTCCTGTAGTCCCGTGCCTGCTGTCATGTGTAATGTCAATGGTTAATGTCGCCGCGGAGAGTTGCCAAGGCCAGCTTTCCGGGCTTTGGGTATTCTTGCGGGTCATTCTTAGGTGGGCGTTGCTTTTGAACACAAATTTTAAATTATATTCACTTGAAGGAGGCTGACTATGCACAAGAAGTAGTATCGGTACCTCTCTATTTACATCTCATCGCGCCTAGGAGGCAAACTGTCTATAAGACTGAATGATAGCCTCCCAACCACCAGGGTGGTTCTCCTCATTCGGGTTCGACTTGCCATCGAGAACCATGACATCCGTCTTGCGAGTACTAATTGAGTACCAAACAAGATTCTCAGGATCATTAGCCACGCGCATCATATTGGTCTGGCACGATCCATCACACTGAGTGCCGTAATTGCCGTCCCATTGGCCGTCAAAGAATGCCCACGCCGCACTGTTATAAAGCAGGATATCCTTTCCACCATCGATGTTGGTAGCCAGAGAAGTCCGGCACTTCTGATCATCCTTGTCACACCAGGAGAAATCTGGGTCACCAATTGAGGAGTCCGCCGTCCAGGGCGCAGGGGCAGTTTGCGTCGCACCATTGCCCTGCATATAGGGACTCTCGGTCTGCAGAAGGCCGGCATACACATTTTGCGCTGCGTGGAAGTTGTAGTTGTACAACCAGTGGTGTTCGGATCCAGTACCAGTCAGCCAGGTACCCTTGGTCGCTTCAACAAGGACACCACGGCCGGTAGAGATAATCGTCTTGGAAGATCCTCCATCAAGATTGTGGTCCGCCGTCCAGCCCCAGAAGTTCTCGATGTAAGCTGATGAAGACGAGGTGAGATGAGCCACCATGTACGCCGCCATGCACTGAGACGTATCCTGGTTGTCGCAGTCATCCTTGACACTCGTCTCGGCCGTTCCGCCAACAGTCACGATTGTGTTCCACAGCGCCACGTCACCGGGGTTCTTACCTGCCGCGTTGATTTCGAGGATCGTGGCGCCGGGGAGAATCTCACCGACGCTGAATCGCATATCTTGGATCTCGATTACCCCCTCGTCGTTGGCTTCGCCTAGTTGGACGACTACCTTGGGATTCGAGGCGTCCTTGAATGCGTCGCCTGCACCGGAGATAACAGCCCAGGCTTCACCCATGATTCGCGAACCGACTGGAATCTTTAGGGTATCTTTCACGGTGTAGACGCCGTAAGGGAAGTATGTGATCTTGCAGTTGGCGGCATTGTCTGCCAGGATGGCATTGAGGGACTCAACATCATCGGTTGATCCGTCGCCCTTCACTGTGTGTCCGTCAACGGACTTGACGTTGACAACCTGGTCCGATGCATACTCAGCATAAGTAGGCTGCGCACGAGTAAAGTATTTGCCGTTGGAGAGAAGCACATCTGGGCGGCTGGTTGTGAATTCAGTGCCCGTCTCATATTGGCCAGGAGTAAGGTTTCCCCAAACCCAGGTATCGACCGAGGCAGAGGCAGCAAGTTTCACATTGCTATTGCTGTCGACGGCGATCGCATTATTCGTGTCGTGAGCGAGGTTTTGAATGAGAAGCTGGCTGTTTC